AAGCCACTGTCACCCCTGACAGGGAGAGTTGCAACAGCGGACGCGAGGCCACACCGCTAGTCCGCTCCCAATGCCGGGGCTTTGTCCCCGAGGCGAGGCAACAGCCACACAAGACAGCTCCTCCGGGTTTTGTACACAATAAACCCTCCTCCGGGTGGATTCCAGAATTGCCCCCTTCTTATTGTGTTCTTCCTTGGGGATGTCAACAGGGCGTCATTCGACGGTGAGACACAGCAGATGTCATCGTTATAACACTAGCGACTGTGAACCCGTCGTTATAACAAAGAGTGCTCATGTTAGTCACCAACCAGTCAGCACTGCATCGGTAGACGTGAAACCATAGATAATCAGGCATTATATTACGTGGTCCGTGGCATAATGCATGGAAGGATAGACGCAACCATCTCCTTGTTTTGACTGAGGACCACATCATTTGGGAAGTAACTACTATTTGTTCAGAAGTAGAGCTCAAGATAACTTTGCCTGTGTTAAATTATCTTGTCTAATGAGAAGTTATGACAACAGTCTGCTTGTTACGTTCGATCTGACTTTGGTGATGCTCATTATGAGGGTGAAGGCACGGCTTCTGGGCGTTGCGTACGACTGTAATGCGGAAAAATTAAGTTCCAACCGAGATGGCTAAAACAACTGGAAGTAAAAAAGGACATGCACTAGGAATCGAAAATAAGATTTGAATGGCTGCAAGGCATCTGCCTCACTGGCACGAGAACCCATCTATAGAATGAATTAAATATACCAGATTTCGAAATACTTGCGCACTTCCCGAGTTATACCACGCCACTTTCGCAGCCAGAAAATCAATAATTGCGGTCGAAAACGTAGCATTTAGATCACCAAATCCATTTTCTAGAAGGACTGAACCACTAGGTTGTGAATGTGCCTGAAAATACCGTTTCCCCCTTAGTCTGTACTAGTCAACACCAAGTAATTATTTCTCGGTTGCTTTGTCGCTGTCCGTTTAATTCTCTATACGCGAATCCTATCATCAAATGTTGGTGCTCATTAAAGCCAAATTCTTACGAGCTACAAACTCCTGTGTTTAGACAGCCAATGGATAGGGGTGCACTGCGATATAATGTAGTTAACAATATGTATCTGCAAACTCGTATTTCAATACCCAATTAGAATAGCTTAAACAGGAATACCCTTAGCGGAAGGGGATCGAACATAACAGACGTTTATAAAATTTGAGACAAGCAGAGTGGACTCATACAGCTGGTGGTGCTGGTTTTTTGGCTGTCGCATCGTTAGGACCCGGAGGCGGAGGATCAATTCGGTTCTTGAAGTTGATCAGCTTTTCATCGGTGATATCGAAGATCCTGCAAATACATCGCATAAAGTCAATCTTTCAAACAAAAAAACCAAAAACGTCTGAAAGATTAAGGATGGGGGTTATAATTAAAAGGAGGAATGTTAATCAAAGATGCTGTACCAAATCAGGTTATTTGCGCCTTCTATTTTTCTGGCGCAAAAACAGCATTTAAAACGTTTTTGACTAATGCAGTAAGCTGAATGCAATAACACTTGTGTAAGTGTTAGTAAGAATAGCATTTATCCTTACTATATTTAAGTAATTATTTCTGAATCAAAAACAAGCTTTATAATTTCGGTTGAAATTTCATGGGCTAGACAGTCTACCATAATTCATACCTATAAGTCATTCTTGCTAAGACAAACTGTGTGAATACCAAGGGGTCAGCTACCATACGTGCACTGCACTGTACACGCTTTCGGCAACGATACTTATATCAGAAAGAATTTGGCGCGGCGAATCCGTTTCAAGGAAGTAAAAATGACAACTTAGTGCCATGAGAAGGAAGTTTGGTACAAATGCCGGCTTGAGAGTCTTTTGAGTGAGGTGTTAAATGGGCTAACCTTTCGGGAAATTCTTCATCGTCAAGATCAGAAATTTTCAGTCGCACGACGATGGCCGATTCGGGCAGGGCACTGGAAACTTTTGCAAGCTCCTCATCCAGTAGTCGCAACTGCTGGATGATATTGGCCTTCTTGTCTCGCAGCCTCAGCACACGTTGGTTGAAATCGGCTTGCCGTTCTGACAACTAAAAGATTTGAAAAATCCCAGAACTGACAAGACATAGTAAATCGCGTGAAAAGAAAATGAAAGTGCTAGCGGGATGTGAAGTACCTGACGCATTGTACTCAGTAGAACCAGTCTGGTTTTTTTCGCGGTGCGTCGCTCGTGCTCGGGCACTGTGTAGTTGGGTGATGATTTTAGTTTATAGTCACCCATATTCTCACGGACGTACTTTATTGCTGCGACGTCTACGGGGTCCTCATAATTGTTGGGTGGTTTCTTCGCATAGAGTGCATCCCACTGAAGAAACAGAATTGAGACATAAAGTTATATCGTTGGCCTTCAACAGATACGCATAGCAGCTCGTCTGCAATACAGATGACTTCGTGCTAAAAAGCAAAAATGTAATATAATACCCAGTCTGGAAACAACAAGGGATAGGTCTGACTGTAAAATGAGACCGGTGGTAATAGGAGTTTTACGGATTGAGTTCCATGACAGAAAGAAATGTGCGATAAAATTTTAATGTTAAAAGTTTGCAATTCCGAAAAAAAGGGAAAATTAATTTTTTGAGCCTGAAAACTCACCTGGAAAATTAAAATAGAGTGGGACTAAAGAGCCCCAAAACGCAAAGGGTGAAGGACAACATCGAAAAAAAAGACGGATAACTCGAAAATCCACTAATTGATTAAGGAAACGAGTGTTTCAAGGGTACAGCCGACGCGTGATGCCGCTTAAAGCAGTTCCATAAAACAAAGCAATGCAGAAGTGCTCATTTCGAGTGGGAACTTGCAGAAGAGCAGGAGAAAAGGGGGAATGGTTCAGGCGGCGCTAACCCAAACCAAGCGACCAAAATGAGTTGAACCGCAGTTGAACATTATTACTTTTTACAACAAATTTAGATAGTAATCAATGCTGTTTTGAGTTAGGCATCAAATGGCGTTTTTCCTGCGCTAAATTCCAAAGATATTAGGGGTACGGGCAAAATTAGTATTACAATTGCTTTTTGAATTATAATCGGGATACTCGAATCTTTACCCTACATGGCATTTAGCGCAAGACCACCTGTAGCTGTGCAACGCCTTTAAGCCTGCCGATACCTAAAGCGTTCTTAGCTAAAATTATCAATACTTTACTTGTATTGCGGTAGTTATTACGTACCCTAGGTTTTCCCGGTGATCCTGTCACTCAATATCTTTAGGCAAAACTTTTGAGGTGTGACACCACTTTTACCGACGACTCGGCTAGCAGTCACCACCAACCTTCTCAAGCCAGCATATAAAAGACCTACAAGTTTGAAGACTTTTGCTGGCGCCTTTTAACAGACAAATAAAAAGTAAGATATCAGGTAAAAAATGCGATTCCCTATTTATAACCCGAGGAATGGGCCACCAGTTGCCGATCATCAAATAAGGCGTACATCCACGCGATCCTGAAAGCCTCGGAGGTTGCAGTATTCACAACTCTGAAAGGGACACTTACCAGTGCCCACGGAGAGCCCAAATGGAGCGCTATGATCTGTTTAAACTTTTAAACAACCATAACTTTAAACCCCTCAGTACCATAAGGCAGCTCGACCCCTCTCGGCGCGCCAGTCATCGAGATGTATTTTTTATTTCTTCCTATGGCACGCAAAGTTAGGTACTATAAATTTTTTTCAGTAAACGCCATAGCAATCTGGAATATGCTGCCCAGACGTATTGAAACTCAGCAAAGCTATCCTTTGTTTAAGAGAGCTGTCACTAGTTTTCTACTTGCAGGGCAACTTTCACGAAGTTTGAGTGCTGACTCGGTGGAATCTCTTTTTCAGTCTGATGTCGTTCATGAACTATGAACCCTGCCAGGCCTTATGCTGAGGATAATGGTGCTGAATCTGCGGCCCGCAATTGGCTAATTCTTCAGCCGACAGTGAGCAACTGCGCGCCAAAAAAACATTCCTCTAGTGCTGAATCTCCAAAGCATTACACTCAAGGAAGACTGAAAACACTGTGTTTCTGTGTCAACCCTCCCCGTCCCGAACTAAAGTCACTCAACGAGCTGCAGTTTTTTTCTGCTAAACTGTCAACTTGATGTACAACTGTACATATCTTTCGTTAGTATCGTACCTTTGAAGTCACGTTTTGTCACTTCAACCAAACTCCCTATTTCACCCACTATTGACCAATCACAAAAAAAAACAAAAAAAGTACTGACTGCAAAAGAGGGAGTTTGTTTTAGGTTTTTTTCTTGTCTTGGTGCTTTACCCATTTACCCAATTTTTAAAATTGCCTGTAAACTGGCAATAAATAAAGGAGTTTGTCACGAACACTTTAGAGTTTGGTCTCCATGGACACTAACCTCCACTCCAAAAGCTATTCATTTATAACGAAAAGGCCGCAACCAACCAGACTAAACATTTATTGCAAGGGGACTGGCGTTCAAGGCACTCAAATGCAAAATAGGTAACTGCCACGTCCTCAGACCTTACCTCTGCCTGCCGTTTTTCGCGTTTGGCTTTAGCGGCCTGCATGAAATGAAGCTGGCGATCCAAGCGAAGTCCCCTTGCGCCCTTAATTTTGTGTCGGTCTGTATCCTCCTGCACGACTGACGCGGTTTTCTTCTTTTCTGTGGTGGCTCCCTTGTCTTTAAAATGAAAGTGGGAGGATATGAGGGGCGGGGGTGAGGCAGGAAGGCATAAAAATA